ACTTGGAAGTTGTCCGATTGCTGCTTGAGTCAGGAGCTGACAAAGATGCAGCAGATACAGATGGTCGGATGGCTTTGCACATTGCAGCCCAAGAAGGCCACTTGGAAGTTGTGCGCTTGTTGCTCGAGAATGGAGCTGACAAAGATGCAGCAGATACATATGGCTGGACGGCTTTGCACATTGCAGCCAAGGAAGGCCACTTGGAAGTTGTGCGATTTTTGCTCAAGGCTGGAGCTGACAAAGATGCAGCAGATAGTCAGGGTTACACGGCTTTGTGCTTTGCAGCCTATAAAGGCCACTTGGAAGTTGTGCGATTGTTGCTTGAGGCTGGAGGTGGCAAAGATGCACCTATTCCAAAAGGTTGGTGGACGTCTTTGACCTTTGCAACCATGTATGGCCACTTCGAAATTCACCGATTGCTGCGTGAGGCTGGAGCTAGTGCTGGAGTTGACCATGATGCGGCACGACAGATGGCTTAATGGCTTTGCATTTTGCAGCCGGGGAGGGCCACTTGGAAGTTGTATGATTGTTGCTCGAGGCTGGAGCTGACAAAGATGCAGCAGATATAGATGGTGATACGATCCAATACGTCTTTGTGCTTTGCAGCCTACGAAGGCCACTTGGAAATTGTCAGATTGCTGCTTGAGGCTGGAGCTGACAAAATTGTGGGGACAACAAGAAATAATACAACATATAAGACAACCCCTCATGAACTCACCCCTCACTACCACATTGCAGCACTGGAGTTCCTCTCGATGTTGTTTTCCTAACTTAAGAATTGTATTCATATACCTTGGTGTAGAATGCGCCAATAGGCCAATACTATTGAAGATTCTGATGTAAACCTGTGAGTATGCCACGACCAGTGTAGAATGTGTATCTATGCCGATATTATATCTCATTGGAACTTCTGCTTTCAACAACCACATATTTGTCATTCCGGTGCAAGCCAGCCTTGGAAAACGGCTGTTTAGCGCAACGAGCTGACAGCACCAGGTCTATCAATATAGTGGCCACTAAATAGATACGGTTTCCAAAAGGTTTTGAGTGGGGATCTACGAATCTACGAACTTCTATCCATACCCAGTCAGTGGATAGCCTTTAACCTTTTTTGGGGAGTCTACACATCGATAGAACAGGTAGAAAAAGGTAAACCTTTAGTTATTTTACATGGAAACTGAAGGGGCCAGGATCTTTTTGGGGGTCTATACAATAGTGTCTCCAAGGATTTGGAAAGAGCTGGAACAGACACTTATTGGAACACCCGCTAGGGACACACCAGCGAGAAAGACGTGGCAAGAAAGCTTTCGGGTCGAGCAAGTGCATCGGCACATGACATTCGATGCTTTACTTAGTTAGTTTTTGCACCCAGTTGATTGGGTCAAAGTGTGGCATTTGTTCAGGTTCATTGTGGCATGTGCTCCGTTGATCAAGGTTCATCATATGTGGCAGGTTGTTTGATTCTAACGTGTTTTTTTGCGCAGAATCTGATATTCCTTTCTCTAATAATTGCCCAACCTCTTGAGCTCAACAAGCATCATTCTTGAATCGAATAGGGCTCAGCCCGGGTTGAACCGGTTCCGGCCCTTTCAGGGCACGGGTTTTTTCAGGCGACGCGTCTTCAGACCGTGCGCACGCCACACAAACTCAGACGTGTCGACGGTGGTTCCGGCGCACCGAGGTGAGGTGCAGCGGCGCTTTCTGCTGGCGGACTTCGAAGGGGAGATGCTCGGGTCGGGGAGCCGAGCGGGTCCGCGGGCTCCGAGCGGGGTCCTGCATGGATAGGATATGTCCTGCATGTTAAAGATATGTCCTGCATGTTTTGCGCGATGGACGTCTTAAATAGCAAACTGAGTAGCAACATCTTAAGTAACAAATATTGATGAATATATCCATAGTATCTCCCAACAGACACGGAAGATTTGCTTGCCAGTTCCTACAAGTTGTTGGCAGAGGAATCTGGGAACTCAATGAGTGGTGATCATTTGGATGCAGCTTTGAACATGCTCCAAAGGTTTGATGTTTGTTGTCCTTCTCCTAGCCAGTGATAGCATCATATTTGACTTTTGTGTCCTTTTTTGTTACGCTTTCAGACGACCTGCTTGGCAGGTGCCCTCCCAACAAAAATTGAAGCCTTGTGGAGCTTGGCTAGCCACCAAACAGCGCGGGATGTCACTCAGGAGGCTTTGAAGGCAAGCATGAGGATGTTTTCATTCGATTCCTCAATGTGTTTTTGTTTCTGTTTCCTCCTGACTTGGGTGGGAAGTAGTGATATATAACATCGAGCCTATAATGGCCAGGTTTTGCGGGCTCTGAGGTACTGTGGTGAGTTGAGCACCGCAGCCCTTTTGGAGACGAAGGCGCCGTCCGAAGCTGAAAGACATCGGGTCGCGGTTCCGGGTTTTCTCGGAGGGCTTCGGACTTGCAAGGCCTAGCCTATCAGTCGGTTTGGCCGCTCTTCGGCTCCTTGGTCCCTGGATCTGGCAGGTGTGTGGGAAAAACCCTGCCGAAAGGACCAGCAACCCCTCGTAGCCTTTTTGATCTCAAACACGCCCATCCTCTGGGGATCCAAGTGCCTGTTCAGAAGGTACGACTGGACACTCCCAACCTACATAACAGTGTAACAGTGTCAAACACACCTCCGTCCCTGAGGTTCGGCACGAAAAACAGATGAAAACAGATCCCCCCGGTCGCAGCTCCGCCCTAGGGATTCCATGGTGGATCATGGTGTTCGAACCGCCTTTCGCAGCTTCGCAAGGGCCATTCGGAGACCTCGCGCCCCGGGCGGCCGTCGTTTTGCTTCAGGTCCTGGACCAAAACCTCAGACCGTTGAGTGCCAACGCCCTGGGCCACGCTCCGCGCCTTGGCCACCGGTGGAAAAACCGAAAAACCACGGTTTGGGTTTGGGTCTGTTACTCGGTGGCTCCCATCCCCAACAAAATACGGTATAGGAAGTTGCCTTCCCCCCCCAGCAACAAAAACACGGCAAGTATATATATAGATGTGTATATATATATATAGACATGATATAGGACAAAATTTAGGATCGAAAAGCAAAGTATGAACATCCAGTGTGGCACTCCAGCTGCAGCTGCTAGCTGTCCCGACTCCTGCGCTGCCCAGGTTGGGATTGCTCATCGATTTGCGGAGCACCCCATGTGCGGAAGCCCGGGGGCATCGCAGATCGAACGCGCCCGTGGCGTCGTAAAAGCGGCGGAGTTTGCATGAGGTCTGCTGGGGGAGTGGACGAACGAAACCAACAGTCACGAAGAAATGAAGCTAACCCAGACACTCCATGTCAATGTAGGCATATATGGCATACATGGAGCGTCTGGGATAAGTATATATACATCTAATTACTTGCGTTCGGGCACTGTCATCAGCAGACAGAATTTTGCTGCTAATATAGCTTACTTCATGACTACAGAAGATTGCTGGATCGGACCAGCCAAACTGGCAGAGACCCTCAGATCGTGGTGGTGATGCTCGGCGGACATTCATGTGTCCATCAGTCTTACATTCACCCCAAATAGATAATAGAAACACAAACAAACGTTTGGAAGACTACATGTTCCCTACCAAGAGCCATATTGGGAGTGGTGCAATGGTTATAGCCATAGCCCTTTAACCCACGATACGAAGCGAATCTTCGGGGAAAAACGCTTTTGGTCGCCAGTTCCGCATGGCTCCTGCGGCAGACATGACTGCCACGGACGCGTTTTTGGGTTGCCCAGACATGACTCAGGTGGTTGGTGGTCCAACTAGGAGGTTGACTCTGTGAACTGATGCCTATAATCCTACACTCAGCCGCCCTGTGTCCACAAATTATGGATGGTGACTTGGCAACCTCCCAAATGAAGCAGTCCAAGTGCGGATGATATTGTCCTACCCAGCAAACAAAGCCAGCTGGATTGCCGGGTGCCCCTGCCTTGTGCGGTTGGATCGGCACTGGCCAAATCCAAGCAGGACGGGGCGCCCGGCCCTTGTGGCTTCGTGGCTCCGTCCCAGAGTCCAACTGGTCATGGGAAGTCCATGGTAACCGGGTCGTTCCCCGCGAACTGCAGACCTCCAGGTGTTTCGCCGGTCCGTCGGCGATCCGATCTGATCCGATGGTAAGCAGTCTGCGTCCTTCAGACCGAGGGAAGATCCAGCTGAGCAGTTTTGGTTGGGGCGCCGCGTGTTCTTCGGCAGGCATTGATGCCTTCCGTCCACTGATGGAGAGCCCAAAGATTATGAAAGTGCCACTGGGTCCGAAGTCTGAAGCTTTGGAGGGGGCAGGAGTCTGAAGCTTGCATGGAAGACTTGGTATATATACGGGCAGGCTGTACGTCCTATAACCTGCCATGTGGCAGGTCAACGATGTTTTTTTTGAGATGGCCTGCAACCAAGTCCCATCATCATCCACTATATACCCAAGGTATAAATCCTCCCTCTGGTCGGGTTGGAAGCCGGTGGCATCGACCCCAAAGGGTGCTTGGTCTCCCAAGCTCGAAGGGACCATGAAGGGCCCAAGCTCCAAGGGACGCCGTTGTCCCTATCCCGTCGACGCAGTGAGGACCACGCTGAACGGACTCACCGGCGAGGTGAACGGAGGGTCGAAACTGGATCGGGTCATGTTTGGTTCAGCCAACAGAGGTATGCAGTGACCGGTTTCATAGGACCCGTAACCTGGGGTACCTATATTGGATGGTCTATAGTCTATAGGGTTCTTCAACCTTTGTTGGAGGGTCCAGTTTTACAGAGGGGTACCGCACTATTTGGTTGGATGAGCCCACAGCAAAGCGGATCCACAACGCGTTTGCTCGAGGAGCCCTCCCTGTTGCGGAGAAATACATTCTTCTCCATTCCTCACGACGCAAACAAAGATTGAGGGCCAAAAACTTGTAGATTCTCCTGCAACCCCGTAGCCGATTCGCCCACTGATGGATCTCAGGATGTGGGGTGCTGACGCAGATTTCGAGAGTTTGCTCCATCAGGAGTTCGTTTCGCCCGCGTCGGAGTTCGGTTGCTGCTGCTGCTTGGGGCACTAAATGTGTCATGATGTGGGCAACTACCTCCTGTCAAGATGGTTATGGTGGGTGCCAGGCGGTCTAACTACCTGTATACAAAGGCCTTTACTATCCCTAGGGCAACTACCTCCTGACGAGATGGTTATGGTGGGTGCCAGGGGGTCTAACTACCTTACAAAGGGCATTACTATCTCCCAGACACGACCTGTTCGGGACTGCCGTAGATGCTGCCCCATTGACCCCGAAAAATCACCCCCTATATGGGAAATATGAATGACATACATGGAGTGTTTGGGAATTTGTTACATTGCTGGTACTTCCAAAAAAGACACGGCATGACTGCCTCTTATAAAGAGAGGATGTAGACCCTACCTGAGCCTACCTGAGCCTAGTTTGTCTTCGTCTTACAGCAGTCGGGACTTCGCTTTGTGGACCAACCCCCCGAAGTTCGACGGCCCGGCCTTCTGCATCAGCGTCGCTGTTTTGCGCCGTCGGTATAGGAGATTCCAATCCATTTGAAGATTCAGCCGCAGGCGTTGAGCAGACGGACCTACGTACCTGCCAGGGGTGGTGAAACACCAAGCGGTGTGGCGGGGGTTGTCCTGCGGTTTCTTCGTTTTGGTTTTGTGTCTGACTTGCCTGCGGTCTATATATATTAATATAGGTGCCTAATAGCTGGTGCTTCGGAGGGGTTCGGAACTCTCCAGTTCTTCTCACTGTCAATTCTCACTGTTTCAATATCTTTCGGGAAAACGGAGCTCGTAGTGACCACGCAAGTTCCTCAACGAATGGTTGGAGTGGCAAGTAGGCCGGGTCCCAAGCTGAAGCTCTGCGGGCCGTCTGCGGAGGGAGAGTCCGCGCCTTCGAAGCCTAACCTGAAATTCAAGGCCCTGGGCAAGAGATAGACCGAGAACCCATATTTTGGGTGGTTGGTGGTGGAGACTCGAGACTAGAGGTCACTCAGGTTCTGGGCGTTTTTGCACTTCTGGGGTGAGCAACCGACGCCCAAAAAGAGCAGCAAAAACCCATTGACCATCGTTTTCACATCCCTGAGCCCTCGACCCGACTGACCCAGTACCCTAGAAAATGGGACATGACCCTATATTTAAAAAAACAGGTACTTGTGCCCCATGTTCTGAGGACCAGGTAACTTTGAGGCTCCAGGTCTTTATATATGATGCATTTGCAAAGCTGGCCGCAAAAACCAGTGTTTTGAAAACAACCATTTACCATGACCAGTTTCACCCTTCGTTGACTCTGTTTCCTTTATATAATCCCATCCGATGTGTTTCAGAGGCAGTGACGGACCTGCAGCTGGCCTTTTCCTCTGGGGATCGGCGCTTGGGCATGGCGCGGATGTTGGAGCGATTGCCGCACGGCGTCGCCAGGGCTGAGGGCCGCGGGGAACGGGCGGGAGGATTCTGACAGATGGGGAGAGCTTGGAGAGGGCACCCCTGGTGGGTAGATGGGTTGAGGGGTGCCATGATGGAGTTTAGAAGGTTAGGTGGGTTGGGGAGTCAGTTTAGACTTAAACTTGTTTGATTGAAAGATGAAGGTCAGGCTCATCACAGCAATTTCGTGTTACATCGCATTTAATTTTGGACCTGGTGGCCACTGGTAGACAGTAGAGATTCGAAGATACACTCCCTGAAACTAACATGGAAGTGGAGAATGGACCCGAAAGGAAGACCATTTTCCACCACAAACAGGTGGTTGTCCACGTAACCATGTTAGTTCCAGGGAGAGTAAGTTCTTTGGTCAGCCGGGACATGAAGGCCACAGGAGGATGTGCTGCAGGGGTCACCCATCACGGTTCCCGTGTGAATTGGGGGGACATCTATCGAACCGCCTTCCTTCCCACCAGACTATAACTGGACGTGTAACAGGACCCGAAAGCATGGACGTGTAACACTCACAACGAGTTTCCAGCTGAGTTCAACCCCAAAAGCTTGCAAGACTGGTTTCGTCTGTTTCTCTTCACCAACGGCGTTTTCCAAAAAACGGTGCGTCCTCTTGCAGCGTTCCTTGTTGGATTGGTTTTGTCGGTTGCCTTTGCGAGATCGCGGCGAGATCTCATGCTCCCCGCGCTGGCCCGCGCGTAACGCCCGTTCCGCGCGCGTAACGTTCCCCGCGGCGGGGCAGTCGACCGCGGCAGCTTCTGAGGCCTGCTGACCTCATGAGCCCTTTGCCCGACAAGAAGCAGCGCCGCCCTCAGTGGGACGGATCGGTGCCATCCACAGTTTCCATGTAATGAAGACCTGGACCCGACTGACCCAGTACCCTAGAATCATGGGACAGGACCCCCAAAAAACAGGTGCGACTGTACCATTTTCCGAGGTACGAACTGAGACTCCAGGTATTTCAGGGAGGGTACCAGCACCATCCTGCCTGGGAGTTCTAGCTGGAGAGTAGCATCCAGCCCGCTAGAACATCCAGGATCTCCAGACGTTTCGACACCCATACAAGCCGTCATAAATGGTCAAATCTGTCAGCAAGTGCTTTTGTGTCTTCCAGTGTGTATGATCAAGAGAAAGGGTAGACTGCATGCAGGAAGGCCGATGTTTTATTGTGTTTGTCCGGTTCATGTTTGAATCGAAAACATTGCTTATTCTCATAATGTTTGGCATTGCTTTCTAAGTACGTGGAGTTTGACCATGGCTCAAGCCGACGCTTGCTTTTAAAACCTCAACAATGCAGGTTACCGCTGCGTCTGGCAACACGATTGCTCAGCTTGATGAGGAACAGCTGCATTACATGGTGGAAAGTGGGCAAAATGTTCGAGACCTCAAGCGACTTCTTTCAGCTCAGGTTGGGTGCTCAAGGTTTCAGCAAAGACTCTTCAGTGACGAAATGGGCGAATTGGAGGATGATTTCCCTCTACGACCACTATCAAATGTCCTGCTGGTAATTCTGCCCCTGTGTGCTCCTGATGAGACCATGGAAGAAGAACTGCTCACCAGCTGCGAGGCGAATAGTGTGGCTGACATCGAAAGGCTTCTTCAAAAGCCAATGGACCCGAACGGGGAAGGTTTGGTTCTTGCTGCCCAGGTAGGCCACTTAGAAGTTGTGAGATTGTTTCTTGAGGCTGGCGCTGACAAAGATGCAGCAGATACATTTGGTTGGACAGCTTTGGACTATGCAGCCAGGCATGGCCACTTGGAAGTTGTCCGATTGCTGCTTGAGTCAGGAGCTGAC